TCGGAAGAATAACATCGAATATTTTCAAAAAATTAGATAACTAAATTGAATCATTTAAAAATAGTGAGATTAAACATAATTTAAGATTTTTGTTTTTTTAAAAGTGATCCTTTGTATTTGACCTGAACCTTTTAGAATATATATAATACGACTTTATTGATTCCTTCTATGTTAATTGGTACCTACTTTCACTTTTACAGCTGCGCATGCAAAGGAGGAAGGACACCATTAGGTAGATGGGTCAGGCAGCGATCAGAGGAGAAAGAGAAGTTGCTCCTAAAAATGGAATACCAATGCAAAAGAGGTATATAGAAGAGTTTATAGTAGAAGAGGCGTGCACATTACAAAACACAAAGATCATTGAATCAGACCAACACTTGGTGCACTTTGCTTTCCATTGTACACGCAAGATTGTCAATGCAATCACACTCCCATTATGCTATAACCATTTGAAAATACGGATGAAAAAAATAAAATTTAATTTAGGCTATTGCCTAATTTCATTTCACTATTTCTTTGAGCATTATAAAATTCATTTAAAGTACTCACATTTCTCAAAAGATACTTTTTTCCATAAGCTATTGCAAGTTTTCTCCGTGGTGTTTCATGATTTTATAAATTTTGATATTAAACTTTTAAAGTTTATATTTCATTACATAACTTTTAAAATTTTACACATTTTATCATTTTTTTAATCGATTATCTTATATCATTGAATGTGATATATTAATCATTAATGTGTCATATTGACTTCATATATTATCATGTCATTCATTATTTGTATATTACATCAAAAATCTACAACAATAATTAATGTGAGATATCTGCAAAAAAAATATATATCACATTAACAATTTGTGTATCGTGTTAACAATCAAGTCAACTATGTATATAAAAAAAGATTAAAAAAAATTAAAATAAAAAAACTCACTAAATTGTAAAACATTGATGACAAAAGTGTAATCAAACCGATTTCATACATGCAAGTACAAAAAAAATTAATCTTTAATCAACCACATACTTAAAGGGAAAAGTTATCCATCAATTATATCACATAATTAAAAAAAAATGAAAAGCAAAAAAGAAAGAGATTGTATTAAGTCCTCAAGGTAAATAAACAACTGGGTATAAACTTAATTGCTATTAATAATATATTAGGTAACCGCAAGTGAAGCAAATTAAGCATAAGGTTAAATTAATACATATAAATTATACATATTAATTTCTCTTTGCTCCCTGCAGTTACATTTCATTTCTTTGCTAATAATCAAAGTGAGATCATGATCAGCAACGAGTGCCCTTTCTACATGTAAGTGCACCAGCAGTGGTGGTCATGGATCCAACAAGAGAAGATGGTCTTGCACTGAGACTTGAAGCCCTAGCATAGCTGGAAGAAGCACCAGCACCAGATTGCCTGAAGTATGCTCCATTCAAGAACATGTCACCCTCTGATCTCCAATTCCACCCTATCCACTCACTCTGTGGAGCATCCTCATGCTTGGTCACCTCCTTGCTGAACCTGTTGTTAGGTGCAAGGAACCTGTTCCCTTGGCTGTTGATGGTAGGGTTGGCACTCCCACCAATTGCATACATTTCCCAGTGTGTGTAGTCGTTGTTCACAACATGGAAATAGCCATGTCTACACCTGCAACAATATTGAGATTCATTCTTGTTAGTATTTTTAAATTTGTAAGAATTATATTCCAACTTAAGAATTTGTGAATATTATTTTAGTTTCTTATTATTATGCTAACCCTATTAATTCTCGAATAAGTAAAAGTCACATTGATTGTATTGTACTGCTGACTAATTATGTTATAAAATTTATCATTAGTACACATTTGGCTTTGTTGTTGAAAGCTGGATGTATATTAAAACTTATCTAATATATACTTTCAAATATGAAAATTAAGAAGAAAAAACTTGATTATGTTAATATTGATATTAAACATTTATAAAATTTAACAATGCAATATGTGTAAACACACACATACATATACACACATATATATATATATAGAACATGGCATTAATGAAAAATTGATAAAATTAGCTTATTGATAAGAAGTCCCAACAATATATTTTTTTATCACACTTTTTGAAATATACTTTTTATTATTAATTCTAAACTTGAAATTTATTAAATATTTAAATATATTTTAAATTTTTGCAAATAAGACAGATTTTAGTTTTAGTTCTATTTCAAAATTACTTTGTTGCTTTTAGTTTTCACATGTTTAACTTCTTTAAAAAATTGATCTATATCATTATTCAGTAATGTGATATGATTAAATATACTACGTCAACAATTATTTTAAAATAACATACTTCACATGTGATGTGACATATTATACGTGTCATGTCACCAATAAATAACACTAGAGGTCAATTAATTTTCAAAACTTTTAAAATTTATAAAAATTAGATTATTTAAAATTGTGGAAACAAAACCAAATTCTCTATACTTAGAAGGACTAACAAACATATGAAGTCTTCATTAACAAAGTTATTAAATTATGATCCAATTACTCATGACCCACATAATTAAAATTTTAATGGCATTCCAAAAATCCTAGCATTTTTTTTTTAACTTTTGTACACACACATACGTACCTGGGCATTCTTTGTACAAGCCCTTCTCCAAAATGATTGAAGGCAATAGTGACCTGCATGTCCTTATCTTGTGTGTACGAATCACTGTGTCCCAAAAGCATAACCTTGTCATGATGGGTCATGTAGTTATTAGATATGGTGATAGCCGTGGATCCATGTATGGCATCAATGAGCCCATCACGACAATTAGACAAGGAGCAATGATCAACCCACACATGCTTGGAATTAAAGATGGACACACCATCACCATCGGAAACAGTCCAAAACCCCGAGTGATGTGGCGAGTCTCTAATGTTGGTGTTCCCCGTGGGCTTGCAATCATGAATGTGGATGCCATGCACGATGATGTTGCTCACATAGTGTATGGTGATGCATCCCCCACCAGCAATGTGGACACTTGCACCCCTTCCATCTATTGTCTTGAAGGAGTTCACTAGAAGCTCTTCTTTTAGGGTTATCACCATGTCCCTCTTGAAGATTATCCAAAGTGGCTCGTCTTGTATGGCTCCGTATCTTAGGGTTCCGGGTTTAGGGTTTACAGCATCGTCGTCACCAGAATCGGTGACGACGTAAATTCGACCGTGCTTCCCTCCGATGGCGTCCTTGCCGAACCCTATGGCGCAGTCGGCTAGCCTTTGACGGTTGTTCTCCCAATTAGGGTCACAGCGCCAGCAATCGTCAATGGGGTTGCCTGTTCCACATGATAAATAACCCAAGTTCCTCCTAGAGGCATTGATGCTTCTGCAGTAAGAAAAATAAAATGTTACATTTTTTTATACATAAATTAACATGTTGTCATGCTAGATTAATAAATGATACATACATGCACTTACTCAAGGTTACAGTGTAAAGGATTTTTATTTTTTTATTTTTTTATATTATCATTTAATTACAAATATTCATACATTTATGTATTTATTAAATTTTGTAATAATGGTTTCATAAATAGAATATACAAATATTTGATTTTTGATTGCCTAGAAAATGTAAAAAGAATTAAACTTCAACTTTTGATTTTATTTATTTTAGAGAATAAGAGAAATAATTACATTTTTTAGTTTTCTAGAATGAAGTTTAAGAACAATGTCATTCCTTTAATGTATATAGTATACAGAATGTAACTTTTATGTTACATTGACAGCATCTACATGGGTTATATTAGTGAATGTTAAATGCATGCACTGTTTTTGAGGTGTATGAGTGGAAGATAGAGAGAAATAGAAGGAAAAATTGATAAATGTGATAAATATGATACAATGTAAACGAAGAAAGAAATAAAAAAAAATGAAAAAGGAGTTGAGTGTATGAATAGAATAACTTGTATGAAGTAAATGATTCTTTGGCATTACCTTTGTACCTCTTGCACAACCAATTCAGGGTCTCGAACTGCTGAGGAAGAAACAAAATGGGGTGTCAGAAGAGAAAAAGCAAAAAGAATAAGGAAGCATGAAAGTGTAGCCATTTTTGCTCTTCTCTCTTTGTTAAGAGTAATGGAAAAGTGGGAGCTAGAGAGTGGGGAACTTTGGGTGAATGGAGGGAGTTTATAGAAAGAAAAAGCCGAGAGTGATGGCGTGATTAATATTTCCGATTAAGTGGGGCTCACATTATCGTAATTTCTGGTTTTAATGTTACGTACGTTTTGGTCTTATACAGTTAGACGTTGTTTGAAACCGTTATATTACCCCTAAGGATTTCAACTGTTCAAGCCACAAAGTCAATTTGGTTGACCCTGTGGACGGATCCATAAGGTAAAGGCACATGCATGCCCCCACTAGATTTTAATTTTCTATTTTTTTCATTATCATAGAATTGACTTTCATTTTCGCCAGTGTGCATGTGTTTCAAAACTCGTTCATATCTATGTCTTCTTAAAATGTTAAAGAAGTGACTATGTTTACAAAACTGGCTGTGAGATAAAGGATGTTTGATTCCAATGCTTCTCTTTCACGGTGAAAATAAGATATCTCAAATGTAATACTTATAAGACTAAATCAATAAATAATCTGATAACAATTTGATGGCAAATGACTTAATATATTTAACAATATTCGATAAAATATACTTTATTTAAAATTATATTAATTAAGTAATAATTATGAACTTAATTCAACCTTACAAAATTATATTATATCATAAAAATAGTTCATTTCTTATATATATATATATATATATATATATATATATATTACTTATACCACCGGTGGATGCAATCTTGGACATAAAATATTCTTGTCCATCATTGCAATGGCATTGTCATGTCTTAACTCAAAGTGATGTTCTTCCCCATACATATCAGATATCTCCTCATTCTCCGGTTCTTCTGCCCTTAAATTGTGCCATATCCCATTGCAGTGTGATCACACATGCATGCACTATACTTAACATGATTTTATGTCTAAGAATTCGGAAATTACGGTATTAGAATGTACGCGCGCACACATGATGACTTGACTTTGGCTCTGTGCCTAATTCATGATTTCGATGGGTAGATTAATTGTTTTAATTAGTTCAACTTTTTCCTTATTTTACTACACCCTTTTCTCGTCGCCAAGACCTGATAATTTCCAAAAATATGTCATCCTATACACTTGTACAGAGACGAACAGACACACTCTGTTATCAAATGAAATTAAAATTTATTAAACAATGTGAATCTCACTCAATTTGTTGGGTGAGTCACACTTGTTAAGTAGTGAATTCTACGTGAATACTATATATTAGAGAAAGGCATACCACTAATTCTTGATATTTTAAAGTTCATTTACACTGTAATAAAATAGACTTTTAGTGGCATTTAATATGATTTTTAGTGGCAATAAAAATTGCTACAAAATCTTTTACCGACATTTCATACATTAACCATTATATGCAATGTCGCTAAAATATTTACCGACAATTATTCTATATACTGGTAAAGACCATCATAATAATCGGGAAAAGTGTATAACTTTTTGTATCATTTGTTACTGGCATTTAAAATTTCTGCTAAAAGTTTAAGAAAAGATTTATAATACTCTTTAATTATTTTATTTCTAGTCGATGCAGGACTTGTAAGATGAGTACAAATATTCTTTAGTTACTTTATTTCTAATTGATGTAGGACTTAGAAGATAAAGGTTATCTTCTAAGTATATATTTTTAAATTTTTTAAATTATCTTATCTCTTAAATACCAACTTAGAATAGTAAGTTATAGGCCTAACTCAACCTTATAAAACATACTTGTAAGGTGAGAGTTATCATTCATTTATATACTTTTTAATTATTTTATTTCTAGTCGATGTGAGACTTAAATTTTTTCTAACAAATAATTGCCGCTAATAATAAATTTTGATGTGATGAAAATACATTTTTAATGGTTATTATATAATAGTCATTAATATTTTTATTAAATAATAAAATAGGAATAATTAATTTATTATCATTAAATAATTATTGATATACTAAATTTTGTTATAGTATTATTAGCATGACTATCATAATCTACAGGTATAATAAGGGTCCACTCTGGTCAAATGAGAATACGATAATGTATAATCCTATTGTTAAATATTACAAATAGAAAATATAGATTAGATAGTAATAATAGTTAATTACATAGAAATATTACGGCTGGTATAGTAATAGAAGCTCTTTTGTACTTCTTATATATATAT